GTTTTCACCAGACCAAGCTTCTTCTGATCAGCAGTTGGGTTTTGATATATGCTGGGCAAGACTGCATGTTCTTGGATACGATCTACTTTTCCATCAAGACAAGAGCTACTGTTCGAATATCTCTGAGTTACTGATGGAGCCACTGCAATTAACAAGGGGAGATGAGTTGTTTGAGCATGAGTTCATCAACATCTTGCATGCACTTCAGGTATTCAACCGAATGCCCACTCTCATTTGCTGTTCATGTTAAAGAGAAGATGAGTGCATGCTCAGTAAATACATTTTCAAACTCAAGCAATTGTGAAATCTCGAATAAACAGAGAATGTTGAATTCCTTGATGTGAGAATATAGACGTTCTTACCAGCATAGTTTGAGATTTCTCTGTGCAGTACTTCTTAAACTTATAATTTCCTTAAGTCTGTTATTAAACCTGCTTTGCTCATGATATGCCACAGGTTGTACAATTCTACTGTTGGAAATCTCCTGATTTCAAATCTGCCAAAGTAGAAGAAACTACCACGGTGGTAGTCTTGTCACAATCGCAGAGGGAGAGATTTGTTTGCCTCAAATCTTTATTTGCGAAGGATGTTTGTCTAGTAGACTCTGTATTTAGCAATGTGACATTCGTTGAGAGTGCACAACATTCCTTTAATTGGGTTGATTTTACGATTGCAATCGCTACGTGGGAAGATTATGTCCGCAAGTTACATAGAGAACTGGTAATGAGCTTACCACACTGGAGAATACAACAATCTATATTTAATGTATCATTGGATGAAAAGTAGTTTATTTTTTGCCCAATATGACTAGGAAGAATTTATGTTCCAACTATTTGAGTAACATTTTAATGTAAAAGATAATTTGACGATGCCTTATTTATTATTTATGGTAATGAGCTTACAGTAAATAATTAGAATGAGTGAATAGTTTGATCATAGGAGAAAGTTCTGTCCGTGACTGAGCGAAGGTGTTTGGAGAGGCTCCATTTATGCAGAACATTGCCAAAGACATCGTAGAACGCTATATCAGCAGAGGCCTTAGTCATTTGGATTGACATGAAACCTTGGCCGTCGTAATACAACTTGAGTTCCTCTGGACTCCACCACTTTACATCACCTCTCCATGCCTTGGAGCCACCTCCACTCGTGAAGAAATTAATTTCACTGCATTCACAACCAAATCAATTGGTGTTTACATACATTAACCCAAGTTTGTTTTTACTTGTTAATTACCTGTGAGTATCAGAGATGTGCTCCAAGCAATGATCATGTCCATTCATATAAAAATCGATATTATTTGCCTGAAGAAAAGTGGAAACAATTCGTATAATAAATTAAAATATTATTTTACAGTTACTCAAAAGGAAATCTTTTTTCAGACCAAAAAAAAAAAAAAAAAGAAATCTTTTGTTTTGGTTCTTCTTTTATATATATATTTGAAATTTATTTATTTATTAGGAACATTCGTACGTACCTTGAGGATTGGGAGAAGTTGGGTTACAAGCTCTTTGGTGACACCATGATGTCCTGCACTTTTAATTGTATGGTGACCCACTACAATTTTCCATTTTGCACTCGAATCTTTTAGTGCTGAATCCACATCCTATATATATATATATATATATATGCCCCAAATGAAAAAAAAATAAAAAAAGTAGTAATATAAATTGAGTGGCAATTGGCAAAGATAATAAGAATAAGAATAAGAATAATATGTAACGTTACCTTCAAGAGATCGGAAAGATAATCCTCCCGAGGAGTGACGCCCCTCCAATCATAGGTATGGTTCTTTGGATTTGTAAAGTAGTCATCCACAAATGGGGTTGTGTCCACAAAGAAAAGGTCTACGATTTCTGCCACCAAAATATTTTAATTAGTTTTATTAATGATGAGCTTGCATTTTGTTGCATTTTACACAAGTAAGTAAGTAGGGTTGGCTTACCCGCATTTACAATGAATGATCTTAAGCAAAGCCATCTGCTATCAATTTTTCTGAGGACGGGACTCAGTTGTGCCTCAGCATTACCCCGATAGTCATGGTTGCCCAAGACTGCATTAATCATGTAATTATGCTACCAGTTAACGAAATAGCTCATGACGTTAATTAACTTAACATGGTGGTGGGGTGCGTGTATTTTACCATTGTACCATTGCTTATTTAGGCTAGGGGCAGTATAGATGTTGGAAAATGACTCACTGAATGCTGGATCATCCACGCCTGTTAAACCATCCTCATAGAAATTATCACCGGTAGATATGACAAAGTCTATGTCTGCTTTCTCTCCAATTAGACCCATCTGCAATTCAAATTATCTAGCTACCAGTCAATTTCAAAACAACCAACCAGAACCAGAACCAGAACCAAAGTGGCAGAGACAAGGACCCTTTTAGAATATGCATGGAATATTTAATAATGGCTCTTGAGAGCATAATAGAATATACCCTCCCTAGCCCTAGCTAACATTCTGTATGTAAATAGGGACCATACATAATACATTCATTCATCATCAAATTATATGGTCCCAGATGGTGAAATTTTGAACTTGGATTGATTACGACCAAAAAAAAAAAATGGTGAAAATTTGAACTCGGATTGATCAAGACCAAAAAAAGACGGTGAAATTTGGTAACCATGGCAGCATGAAATATAGAAATCTAGACATGCAAACATATATATCGTTCATATAATCACAAACATGCAAACATATACACACGTATACAAATTGTCAATTAAGTACAGAGATCATGACTCTGAGAAAAATGATATGTAGAAACCTGGAAGGCAACTTGAGATTGGTTGTAGAGTCCGCGTCTTCCCCAATCTCCAACAACCAAGAAGCTAAGAGATCCATCTGCTTTTGGTGGGTGCTCAAAACGTTGAAGCTCAGCTACAGAACCAACCAAACAAAGTGACAGGCATGCTGCTCTCAACCCAAAGAAGAAAAATATGGTTTTGGAATCACAAGTAGAAAAAGAAGCCATGTTTGAGTTTTTAGCAGAAAATATGAGAGAATTGACTCTGGTGGATAGCGTTGTGATGTGAGCCTGTATATATAGATGTAGTGAGTAGCTCCCCATTAATATTTATAAATAAACTCTCATTTTATTTCTACTAGAATTTAATTTGCATGAATTATTAACCTCATTAATTGCATATAATGACCTGGCCTTTCTCTCTTTTTTGTTTCTTCTCCCTTTCAAAAAGCGGCGATAAAATCTCTTTTTGGAAGAAACAATAACAAATATGGTGGCATTCAGAAAACTTGCACCTTTTTTCCTCGTCCCTTTGTCTCTATCAATTTATCTCCACGTCATTCTCACTCACCTTAATTATTTAGAAAGAAACAATTAAGTTTGAAATTAATCCCTAAAGAGCATCTCCAAGGGAGATGTCAAATACCAAACATCAAATTTAAATTTGATGGCTGATGTGGTAATTTGACATCTTAAAGTATCTCCAACCGATGTGTCAAAAGTGCCACATAAACATTTAACAGCTAGAAATAACATCTAATATCATTTCAACCGATGTGTCAAAACTGATGTGGAATAAAGGCTGGAGGTTGAGATGTTATTTTTGACATGCCAAAAGCAAGATGTTAGATGAATATTTTATTATTTTATTATTTTCTTTTCTTTTTAATTAAAAATAAATCAACACTATAATGTAATAAAATAATAATTTAATTTGACATATTAGGTGAAGTGTAAAGCTGTGTAAGAGCATCTCCAAGGGAGATGTCAAATACCAA